TGGGAGGTGTCCCTGCTCAGGGCAGGGGTTGGGGCTGGATCATCTCTGAGCTCCATTCCAACCCCTTAACACACTCTGACACTGATAAAAGGCAGTTTGCTTTCCAGCTGGTGAAGGGATTGGTGCTAAAGGCTCTTGTTCTCTAAGCCCATGTGTATTCCCTTCCAAAAAAACAAGATGTCAATCTCTTTGGTAGAAGTTCAGGTCCAGCCATGTTATTAGGTCTGTGCCTTTAGAGAGTTGCACTGGTGTAAGGCTTGAGGCTCTCTTCATCTGAGTTCTCTAGCCAACAGTGAGGCAAAACTGTATGGAGAAAAAAACCTTTATGATGGTACTATTGGTATTTCCCCCTCTAAAGGTTAGCACTTGACACAGTGGAAGTTAGTTCTGCACAGGTAATTTTCAGAGGAGCAGTTCTTGGCTTTCAAAGGGCAGAGCCTTTTTGCCTGGAGGAGAATTCTGTACTCACGTTTGCTATAGCAGTACCATATGTCCTGTTGGGCTGAGCCTCTCGGTAGGATTCATGACTTTGGCAACACAGGTCGTGTTTGTAGCACTTGGCAGATGTTTGAAGTGTGAGCCAGACTGTATGAGCTTGGCTGGCTGTTCAGAAAAGAGGCTTCAGCACCTGAGCAAGTCAACTTTTCCTTCCATTGCTGGCTGCCAAGTCCCAGCAGCACAGAGTTAGCTCAGCTTTGTGCTTGACTGGACTTGCAGGTCAGCGTCGCAGAGGCTCCTGAGGCACAGCACACAGAGGAGATTGCTGTCCTTTGGTGGCTCTTCTTGGCTGTGTGGGGACAAGATCTCTTTGCCATCCTGCAGAGGTGGGGAGGGTTCACTTAGGAACCTTTTGTTACCTCCACGTGGCTTCAGCTTTCTCACGACACAGTAGCTAAAATGTTCTTTGCTGTCAGGAATAGTAGGTTATCTCTTCTTTCAGTGTTCCCTGCTCTTAGGACTTAAAGTATTAACACCTTCTTGAAATACATAAACTAAAAGAAGTTATCTGAAAGAGATTCAATTTTGTGAAGCAGGTGAGGAATGTACAGATTGACTTCTAGAACCAGTTAAGATATTCTTGACTTAAAGCTCCGGGAGCATCCCGTTTTTTCTTGGATGGTGCACTGTGGTGGCTGTGGGGAGCTGCTGTAGGTAATTCTTGCATTTAGTAACCAGAAACTTTAGGACTTTGCAGTATGCATCCTCCTAGTGATTTATATCCTATTCTGATACCTTTTGAATCCTCACATAGATCTCAAAACCTTCCCTATAATTTGTGGCCAGTAGGTAGAACCCAGAACAACCTGAAAAACTGTTTTTACAGTCACCACAGCTTCATATTGGCAAGAGAAAGTGTATGCTGCTTTCTGAAGCCTCTTTAGGGATTAAGTGATGCTTTCTCCTGGCTCTCCATTCTTGCCCAATTTGGCATCTGACTTTGTTAGTCACAGTGTGGCTTCCATCTGGGGTTTTTTGCTGAGGCAGGTGGAAGTGACTATTTCATATGCAGGAGGATTCCATGTCTGCTGTGGAAATCTTGCACTCTTTGTAAATACATGTAAACATTTGAGGGTACCAAAAGCAAAGGGACATGTTCCACCCAACCCAGGCAGCCTGGGGTAGTTGTGTGTCACTCAGGCCAGCAGTGCTGCCCCTTGAACCTTGGTGTGCTGCTGGCAGTGCTTAGCTGTAGCATCTCCATTGCCTGTTCCATCCAGACACTGACCCTTTGTAACTGTTGAGGGTTGTGTCCTGGTCTTCCTCTACTTCCAGCCTCCACCAGCAGTGGGGATTTGCAAGTGGAGGAGTGTAGTTGGTCACCTGTAGTTGCCATTTTTGGTTGGATTTTTCCTTGAAAACCTGACTTTAGGGAAGCTGTTCAAGGAAGAGAGGTAATTGGGGAAACTTTTCCTTAAGGAAAGCTAGTGCAGCATGGAGGGGCATTGATGGGAGTTAGCTTTGCTCTGACTCCATTGGATATTGCATTTCACATGTGACAACTTAGAGCTACTGTCAAATTCCCAAGTGCAGGTAAGTGTCATCACTAAAGTTGGCAAGACACTGTTGCCACATAAAGCTTTGAATCGAATATAGGTGAGTTTTAGTTTGTATTTTTTTTTGAAGATACTTAAGCAGGGAAAATGGATTTGACTGCTATTATGGGATGAACTAGAAGCCATCACACTGTTGAAAAAACAACAGCTCAAATCCATCCTGTATGAGGTAAAGCAGAGCAGAGTGGGTTGTAAGACTCACCCTTGCATGAATGTGCTTTGGCATAATTCAATTATTTCAATCAGTCTGTTTCTAATTTATTGTTCTGTTGCTTTCTTACAGGCAGGCAGAAGTCCTGAAGGCTGACATGACAGGTAATTGCCTTTATTATACAGCTGATTTAACTGTTTTTGTGTTCCTTATGCTTATTTTTTCTGTGGAAAGTATGTGATCTTATGTTAAAGGCTTTTCCTCTGTGTACAAATAAACAGGACATTAGCAACTGTGCCCCTGTGCAGCCCCAGCTACACATTCTGAAATGCCACCACAAGCTATGGTTTAAGCTGTATGTGTTGGTGGGAAATGGTTTGTATTAATGCCTCAGCCCTGCAGTACAAGCAACTTCCCCAGTGCACCTCTGCTCAGGTGTCCTTGCCACCTTGGTATAGGCCCCAGAGGAGCATTGAAACCACCTGGATCCACCTAACCCAGCAGGAGTGCTCCACTGGTTTCCCTGTGGTGAGGCCCATCCCTGTGCTCCCACAGCTCCAGCCCAGGTGATTTTCCAAGGCCTGGGAAGTTGGAGTCTGTAACTGGAGATAGCAGGGAGCAGTGTTTACACTGTCCTTTTGTGATGGAAAGCAGGTGGCTACCAAAGAGTAAGAAAATGGCAAGCACACAGTAATACTTGCCCACAGTGTTCTCCTAAGTACCAGCAACCTGTGGCCAGGGACTGTCCTATTTATTATCCCTCCATGGGTTTGTTTTCTGCTCATTCTTTTCAGGCCACACTGGAAATTTTTCTAAGTTCACCCAGTGGCAAGACATTCTGTAGCTTAATGACTTGGGAGGAGGTGATTCTCCCCATCTGATTGGGTTTTTAACTCGCCAACTGCTGACTTTGCTCACATCCAGTGATCAGTCTGATCAAGTGGGATCATGTAGGAGGCTGATCAGTGATCAGTCAATCCCCAGCCCATCTATAGTTCTGGTATTTCACTACTCTGATGAATCTCAGATAAAAGCAGGTGTTTGGCCTTGGATACCTTACACTGAGCTCTGCTCTTTGCTTTAGTAGTCGAGTGAGAAATCAGTTAGGTCACTCCATCCATTTGAGTCTTAAATGAACTGTTGTGTCTTTGTTTCTTTCCCTTCTGGTTGCTCAGATTCGAAGCTGGGTCCAGCAGAAGTCTGGACATCCAGACAGGCTCTCCAGGACTTATATCAAAAAATGCTGGTGACTGATTTGGAATATGCTTTAGATAAAAAGGTGGAGCAGGACCTGTAAGTACCTCAGTAAATTTGTATGGATATATGTAATCTGATGAGCAGGAAACCCTGAGATTTCCAGAAAAGCCATTGTATCCTATGAAATGGTTGTCTTACTTCCTCTAAAATGAGAGCTGTGCTGTGGGTGGAATGGGAGAATGCACAGCAGAGCTGATGGAGAGTATTGAGTAGGTTAGTGTTTTACCTCTGGCCATTTAGAAGCAGCTATGTCATACAGAAGAGGGGTTTGGAGAGCCAGATGGCAAGGGAGAAAGCTAAGGTACATCAGTGTGCTGTGCTGTCAGGGAAGGGCTGAAGTCTGCAGTTGCCAGAAAGGAGGAAGTTTGCCTGATGTAATCACCTGGAGCTTTGAGTGGGGTCCAAAAGGAGTTGAGCAGCTGCTGAGCACTCGTTTTAAGCCCTTCAGGGTGGAGCTGGGCAGAGGGAGGAATATCAGGAGAGGTTCACAGGTTACTCATGGCATCTGAAGAATGGAGAGAAGATCCTGCTGGGTTTTCTCCAAGCCCTGAGTCCATTCCCTGTTGTTTGAGATGCAGACCTGAGTTGTACAGGTTCAGTTAAGAGAAGCATGTGGTTCTCCCAGCACTGAGGGAAGTGAGATGAGAATCATAGAATTTTAGGGGTTGGAATGGACCTTAGAGATCATCTAGTCCCAACCCCCTGCCCTGGGCAGGGACACCTCCCACCAGAGCAGGTTGCTCAAGGCTTCATCCAACCTGGCCTTGAACACTGCCAGGATCTGTTTCCCTTAATAGCAGAGGTGAGGAGAGATGGTTGCTCCATAAGCAACGTGATTTCTCCTCTGAATGTTGCCTGAATTTGAATATTCTTCAGTTCCATGTCTGATGCTCTGTAATTAAACTGTTCTTTCCTGTTGCTTATGCCATCTGCATAAGACACTTCCAAGGTAAAAGGGAAATCGCTGCTCTTGTTTTCAGCTGGAACCATGCCTTTAAAAATCAGATCACGACGCTACAGGGTCAGGCGAAAAACAGAGCAAATCCAAATCGGAGCGAAGTTCAGGCGAACCTCTCTCTGTTCTTAGAGGCAGCTAGTGGCTTCTACACACAGGTGAGTTGCAAAAACCAGTGGAAAGGTGGGAGGATTGGGTTTGGGTGGGTAAAATGTGTTCTTTTCCCTTGGCATAGGAAGCTGTTGCTGTGCTGCATGGAGCAGTGTGTGTTGCTGCCACTGGTGCTCTCAGCAGAACATGTCTACAGAGCTGCTGATGTGCTGCAGTCTTGATCTGAAACTCCTGTGCTTCTGGCAGTTATTTGGTGCAGCAGTTTGAGTTCCCTTCTAACAGCATCTGCTTTCAAGCCTAAACCCTACTGGTCAAAGGTCCATTTCTTAGAGTGCTCTGAATGCTCAGAGAAAGCATAAAGCAGCAGGAAAGTTTCATCATTTCATAGTATGTTAAGGGGTTGGGATGGAGCTCAGAGCTCACCCAGCCCCAACCCCTGCCCTGGGCAGGGACACCTCCCAGCAGAGCAGGTTGCTCAAGGCTCATCCAACCTGGCTGTGAACACTGCCAGGGTTGGGGCAGCCACAGCCTCCCTGGGCAACCTGGGACAGTGTCTCACCACCACAACAGGGAAAACCTCTTCCTGATAGCTAATCTGAATTTCTACTCTTTCAATTTATGCCGTTGTTCCTTGTCCTGTCACTGCAGCTCCTAACAAAGAGTCCCTCTGCAGCTTCCCTGGAGCCCATTCAGCTCCTGGCAGGTTGTCTTCAGGTTACAGCACTCACAGGAGGTTGTTCTTACTGTACCGGTTCCTAGTTTGATTCCAGACATCTGCAAGGCAACCCCAGGTTTGGGGTGGGTTTTTTTACAGAATCCTTGTGGTTGCCTTTTTCCCTTCAGCATTGTTTTCTGGGAAGCTGCTTATTGGAGTCAGCCAGTTTGTCAGGCTGGGGCATGGTTGCCAAGGGTTTTCTGCTGTCTCCACTGTTTGTCTTGTTCTTTCCTGCAGTGGATCAGGGAATTTGGCTCTTTTTGTGTATGGCACCACAGACTGGGTCATCTTCCTCTGTGTGCTGTGATGTTAATAGTTTCACTTTTAGTCTGAAGGTTTTGCTCAGCCAAGAGCTCTCCGAGGCCAAGGTCTGAGCAAATGACACCTTTGAAGAAGAGCATGAATTCTGCTCATTCAGCCTGTTGGAAGATGTCAAGTTTCTCTCTTTTATCCAGCTTTCACCTGTGAGATCCCTCCTCTTTGGGGATTTTTGTCTGCTGGATAAAAGACAGAGCAATAGGGGGAGGGAGGTGTAACCCAAACCTTTTCCTGCAGCAAGCAAAAGCTTCGTGTCGCGTGTTTGGCTGTTGACAGAGCGTGCAGCTCTGCCAGCCCTGGGCTGTCTCTGTGCCTTCATCTGGAGGTGGAACCCTGCTGCAGGTCTGTTTTACTTGGAGACAGAGCATGTTCCCAGCTGGGACAAAGTCTGTCACTTCTTACTTGCAGTTTTAACCCTGTAACTCAGTAGCACAAATACTTTTTGTTGCAGTTCCTGTTATTTTCCAGAGCATTTGCTGGAGTCCATTAGGAAAAACTTCAAAAGCACTAATTAGAAGGGTAGAGTTCAGATTTCCCTTCAATCAGCTTTTGAGATATTTGATTCCTTGAAAGAGACTCCCTGTTGGCGTAGCACAAATATTTACTGACAGCTCAGCCACTGAACTGTTAGTATTCCCTCAAGTTGCTTACAAACTTGGTTTAGTTCCAGCTTCTCTCTAAAGCTTAAGTCAGGGTAGTGCTGTTTCTTAGGCTGGAACAAGCTGCTTTGGAGGTTGAGGGACATTCCTTTATTATTTTCAGAGAATAGTGTCACTTCATCAAGGTATAAAAACCACTTGAGTGTCCTGCTTTAAAAACAACAAAAAAATAAACAAAGCCCCAACAAGATCTGTAGACCTCCCACTGCTGCATCCTTGGTGATTGCAGTGTCATGAGGATTCAGTTGCTTACTGCTTTGGGATTGTAGCTCTTTGTTACTGCAGAGAAGTAAAACTTGTATGAGTTTACTCTTACTGAAGGCAAGTAAAACTCTCTGAGGAGTAAAACTTCTCATGGTTCTGGGCAGAACAATGCATCATGGAGCTAATGACTTCTGTATGGAGAATGGAATTTCAAGCCTCAGTCACTTGTTCCCTCCAAAGGTGTTTAGCTACCCTGTGCCTCCAAGTGATGCTCTGTTGGCTTTGCCACTTGTGTTGATGCTTTTGTGATGCCTGTCTCTAGCTGCCACTAAGCCAGCTCTGTTTTTTCTAGTTATTACAGGAATTGTGCACAGTTTTTAACGTGGATTTGCCATGTCGTGTCAAGTCTTCCCAGCTGGGAATCATTAGCAATAAACAGACGCACACCAGCGCCATAGTGAAGCCACAGTCTAGCTCCTGCTCTTATATTTGCCAGCACTGCCTTGTCCACCTTGGAGATATCGGTGAGTTTCTGAGGGAAAAAGGGGTGGGACATGGAGTTGTGCCCGTGTTCAGCTCTCCAAAGAGGGATCTGAGTCTGCACAGGCCATGGGTAACCACTGGAGCAAGTGTGTGCCAAATGAGTAGCTTAGTTTGCTGGTTGTACCTTTGGTGCTTGCTGCAGGGGGAAAGGGCTGGGAAGAAATGCTGTTAGGCTGTTCTAATGTGTGTTACACATTAACACATGGTGACAGTTAATCACTAGCTTTCTAGTGATCTGCTGGAATCTGTCTTGTAGCATTCTAATCATGTTCTAGCTGCTAGGCACAGGGAAGTGTTGAAACCAGGAACTGTTACAAAAGCTTGTTGCAGCAGGCTAACACACTTCTCCATTTCTGGACATTAACATAGTTTTATAGAATGTTAAGGGATTGGAATGGACTTTAGAGATGGTCCACCCCCAAGCCCTGCCCTGGGCAGGGACACCTCCCACCAGAGCAGGTTGCTCAAGGCTCATCCAACCTGGCTGTGAACACTGCCAGGGTTGGGGCAGCCACAGCCTCCCTGGGCAACCTGGGACAGTGTCTCACCACCACAACAGGGAAAACCTCTTCCTAATATATAACCTAATTGTGCCTTAACTGGGTTTTTTTTTCTGTTTTCTTAGCTCGCTATAGGAATCAGACCAGCCAGGCAGAGTCTTACTACAGACATGCAGCTCAGCTTGTCCCTTCTAATGGTGAGTCTGGGATACCTTTCCACCTCATAATCCCCAAGAAGGGTTTGGGGTATTGCTATTCTTGTGTGTCTGTCTAAATCTCTGGCCCCAGATTTCCCAGCCAGCCATGGAACACAGCCTGACCCATCAGTAAATCCTTAGGTAATGGTTATTTGCCTATCTGTGTCACTTGTCTCCTACTTGTGAAGATGTAGACACCAAGGAGGTAATACACAGCTTCACTCCAAGGCTTCCCTGCTGCTGGACTGTGTTACATTCATACATTATAATGTGCAGTTAATGAAAATTTGCTTAGCACCAGCATGGGGGTTTTTTCCTCTTATTTATTCCCACACCAATTTATTAAGTTTAGTAGCTAAAATTGCATTTTCCAAGTTGCTCATGCAAGTGAATGAGTTCTGTAGTTCAAGGATCTAACTTCTTAGCTATTGGCTTACAGTGGCCCAAAATGTAGGAGTGGAGAGAGGAGGATCAATCACTTTTAAGCCAGGCTGCTGAAAACAGGAATTCAAATTTTTAGCCTCTTTCTTTCTCACTGCAAAATTCTCCATATCCTGATTATTGAAATCTTTGCTCTCTAGGACAAAAAACGTGAACTGGTGACAGATTTGCCTCATGAGGTAAAACTAGGCTAGATTTTGCCCAAATAAATGAAGATAAATATGTTGGTGTTGAAAACTTGTTTTTGTCAGGGTTTTCATATTTAGACAATTGCAAATAGATGAAGATAAGTATGTTGGTGTTGAAAACTTGTTTTTGTCAGGGTTTTCATATTTAGACAATAAACTCAAACAAAAATCCAAGCCACAGGAACAAACAAAAAAATCCCCACAAAAGCAAACAAACCCCCACACAATCCTTCCCCCTCCAAAAAAGAAAAAAGGAAACCAAGCAGCTACTGCACCACAAATTGAGAAGCTTTTTGAAGTGGTGCAGATATGGGTCAGCACATGGATCTGAGCTTTGCCTGTTGGAGAACTGAGGACTTTGAGCTCCCTTTCCCAGTGACCACACTTACTCTGACATCAAGCACACTTCAATTCATGACTGTTTGTTGGACAACTTGCCTTTTTCTCCCTCAGGTCAGCCTTATAACCAGTTGGCTATCCTAGCTTCCTCCAAAGGAGACCACTTGACCACAATTTTCTACTACTGCAGAAGCATTGCTGTGAAGTTTCCTTTCCCAGCTGCCTCCACTAATCTACAAAAAGCACTTTCTAAAGCACTGGAAAGGTGAGACGAAGAATAAATTATTTCCACTAAAATAAGATGAAGGAGGATTCTTCCAGCTGTAGTTATTAGCCAGAAGTTGTACATGTTTGGTAGTAAAAACAGAAACTTCTTAGCCCTTGCCCAGTCAGAGCATCCTCACGTGAGTATGGAACAAAGACTGGTGAAGTGGGACTGGGGAATGCAGAAAATTAAGCGTATTGTGCCAACATTACCAAGTAGCTTTGTATGGACATTCCTCCTTTATTTTGAGATAATCAAAGTTTCATAGCATGTTTAGGGGTTGGAATGGACCTCATGTTATTGGCATACCAATGCCATGCAGCACTCCAGG